AGTCTTCCCTCCTTCCACTTGAAACCATTTCCCCTTGTCCTGCTCTGGGCCAGTTTGGGCCAGCATCCAGAGCCCAGCCCTTGCTTCTGCTCTAGGGGGCTTTCTGCTTCTGTCTGCACTCCTTAACCTGCCTCTCCAGCAAACTGACTGCAGTGTGAGGCCATGGAAAATGTGCTGACTTGGGAGACCTTGCCCCTAACCGGTTTGGCCTCCTTGCTCAGGGCCAGCTGGCAGGTGTTTGCCTTCCCGACCAGCCCCAGTTGAAAGGTTCTGTTTGCTCAGCGCTAGGGGACCTCTGCGCGAGCCAAATATTTGGCTTTCCACCTGATAACCTATCAGTTATTTCCTCCTGAAAGCCTTGCAGCAACCGAATGCTCTTTCTTGCCTGAACCTGGTTGGCGTTTCCGCAGAAGTTCTGTAGCATCCTGGTTTTCGGCGTGACAGATGTGATGGTGCCAGCAAGGCAGCCTCGTGATCGAGGTGCAGACATCACCGTTCCTAGGCTCTGCTCATGATATACGTGTGTATTATTTGTATTGTGTTGGTGAATCAGTTGCCAGCTTTGTGTCTGAAGTTTTTTTCCATCTGTAAAAATGTTTTTTTACTAAAAGCAAACAAAAAAAAAGTAAAATTCTCGTGTTGAAAGGAAGTAAAGAATGAGCCACAATTAGTTAGGACTCACGGCAATTCCAAAGAAAACTTAAGTATAATGTGAATTTGCTGCTAACTTGCAAAGACGCTGGGGCTGTGGGACAAATTCAGGTTTGGGGTTAGGTTTACCAGGCACAGTGACTTGAAGCAGGGATCTCCATGATTTGGGAGACCTTTTTCACGTGGGTTGTTTCAGTTTTGGAGGCTGGCTGGAGAGACAGGGAAATAAGTAGAAAGAGCTGTTTGTCTTCTAACTGAAAGTCAGAATTGTTACAGTATGTATTCAGTCCCAGCAGTTAGAGGATCCTGTCCTATTTTCCTCTTCCTGTCCTGTCAGAAATGCTTTCACCACAGGCTAGCAGCATCCTTGTGAACAAGGTTTTATAAATAAGCCACTGTCTGGGACACAAGGAGTTGTTGTCACCTGTGGGCACCAGCCACTGCTATCTTCCAAATTTCTACGTCTTTCACGCAGGCTGAGCCGAGCCAAAAAGATCTTACATGGCACTTTGCCTCTGTGGTCTGGATGCTGGAGCCTCGCAGCTCGTTTGGGTTGTCCTTTGGGTTCACTCCAGGATAGGTGCCCCTGAAGAACAGCAAGTGAGAAGCTGGCGTGCTGCAGGGTAGGGAGCTGTTAGCAGACACCTGGATGCAGGATGATGTGCAGCACCAACAGCCATGGTGAGGGAGCTGCAGCAGTGCTGTTGAATGGCATCCTCGCAGATGGTGATGTGTTGCTTCACCCCAAGGTGTCACGTGCTTATTAGGCAGGAATAAGCCTCTCTGATCAAGGTGGAGATCTGCAATGAGACCTGCGGTCTTTCAGGCTGCGTCACTTCAAGTGAGGGTGGCCATGTTTCTCTGCTCTTGAGAGTATCTGCCTGTAGGACTTGTGGAACCAAGAAGCCTCTTGAGTGTTCTCATAGCTCTGACAGTTCTGGGACCTTGGTGCAGCAAGCTTCCAGAGGGAATTGGAAGCTGGGAGTTTTCTCCAATTAAGAAGCATTAACGCTATCAAAATAACTGGCTAAGCATTACAATGTTTCCAGCAAAGAGATGGGGAGCCAGACAGTTTTTTTGTTCTGATGAGTCACTGACTCTTCTGTGCTGTCCCCTCTAAGTGCTATTTAGACAGCTGCTGATGCAGGAATACCATGCTTAGGGATGGCCCCTGGGGAGCAGGAAGGGCACAAGCTTGCTCACCTCCCAGCTGGTGGATAGTTGGTCTGCTGAGTTCTTCATCCCTCGGGTCTTGCTTGTGGCAGTGGTTCCTGCCCATCTCCATCCTGCATCATTGAGGTAGGTGGTGGTTGATGGAGAAATGAAATGTCCATGTGCTCTCTGTAGTCTTAAAAGCACAAATTAGAAACTGGAGGTGCTGGTGCTTTATGTTCCTGGCTCTTCTGTTAACCATGTCACAGATGAAGGTTTCATCTCTGTCCTGAAGAGAGCCATCACAGCTCTCCATATGCATTTTCAGGACCGCTCATCTGTAGCTGACCCCCCCAGTCTTCTGTGTGCATTTTTGGGATGCCTGTATCTGCCTTGGAGGGTAGGGGATCTCGGGACCAGGGCAGTTTCTGATCTGAGAATGCTGGAGATGAAGGCGCTACAAAGGCATGATGTTTGAAGGGAAATCACAGGTCAACTTGGAAGAACTGTGTGGAATCAAACTAATGGACTGAAAAGTCTTTTCAGGAAAAGCTTTTATCTACCATTATTCACTTTCCGCTTGAGACTGTATGAAATGAGTGCTGATGGGCAACTGCATGAAGTGGGGGGGCTCTGCAAATGAGACAGGAACCTGGAAGGACTGCTGGCTTGCTGTGTAGGCCTTAATGAAAACTCCTAATGACTTTGGTGCTCGCAAGAATCTTACCCAGTGGAGTAAAGGTCACGGGCACTTCTCTTTCTTCTTTTTTTTTTTAGCATATTTTTCACAATAGAATTATCTCTTAATCACTGAAAACTATAAAAGAGGGCTGTGGATTGGTTCAAAGCCAAAAACGCAGGTGTGGAGTCCAACTGATTTCAACACTTAACTTGTTCTGGAGAACTTCGGTTTGGTCTGACTAGTTCTACAAACAGAAACCAAAAGGGAAGTTTTATGGGGCAGATTTTGCTCTAACAGACCCCTTCCTAAGTTGATTGAGCTCTGTTGAAGTCAAGCTGTGGAAAGAGTGGCTTGAGTAACTGCTCTCATACGTTAGCCCAGTCTGAATGTTAACGAATCACTGTGATGGGGGTTATTCAGGTGAGCTTAGAATGCAGTGCACTGACATCAGGAGGGCTCTTTTCTGCAGGCATTCCTTTTTACTGGTGGGAGCCAGCATTTTCCTAGTTCACAAAGCCAAAGGGTGGGAATGCGATCATGCAGTGTCCAAGTGTCTCTTGATGAGCACATGAAGCATCCTCGTGGGATTGTATGAATGACATCTGGTAAATTATGTGCACAAATTATTGAACGTGGCATAAAATACCCTCCACTAACTCTTAGCAACTCCGATTAGAACATCAACTTATGTGCATTGCATCCGTTGTCATCAATAGCGTGCAGGTTGGGTTAGATCGATTGCTTTAGCTTCCGCAGTGCCTCTAATAGTTTAATTTGGCTTAAAGCGGTTTTGAAAGTTACTCCTTTTAGGATTGTGGGGTTTAGGGGTTTTTTTTTCATCTGTTTTTTAATGCCTGAAATATAGGCATTGTCAAATAGAGCTCTAGAACATCCTAGAGAAAGTTGTGAGCTTTCAAATATTGCCTAGAAAGGGAAAGAACTCTGTTCTCTGTTGTGTTGTCACAGGAATAAGAATTCTGAAGTCTGCCAGAATGCAGACTTTTTCTTCCAAACTTAAAGTGTCTGATGTTTACTCTCTCCTTTTGTGCAATTTCACAACATCATTCTTTTTTTCTCCACAATCTGTTTTACTTTAAGTGACCTTCATGTGGGAGTGTGCAAAACGTTCATCTGTAAAAACACCTTATTTTTTTGCTGAAATTTTGAGTTGGCTGTTGGAGTAAGAGATGAAGCTTGAGAAACTTGTAAACCAAAGGGGAAAAAAAAAAACAAAACCAAACCAACAAAACCCACCACCCTCAAATATGTTTTTATGCCTTCTTGGAATTATTCTGTGTTCATGGTGACAGTGATGTGACTCATTCAGCAAACTTTCAGCGTTTCTGCCAGCTATGATTTCTCAAGGTTTTAAAGGAGGTGATAACTGAATAAGACACAGATAATGGGTTCCACCCATATATTTCAGAGCTAGGTTGAGAGCTCCCCAGAAAGTGGCAGTGTTTTTCTTGGATTCTGGGTTGGTTCTGGCTATGATGTTTTGCCAATAGGGCACCTGAGCCATCTCCAGAAATGCAGACACACTTCTGTAAGATGCTCACTCAGTGTCACATTTCTGTGCACACGATGCTCAGTAGGAATGGCTTCTGGGATTTGCACTCCAGTGTAACCCATCAGTCTGACAGCCACTGCAAACTTTCCTGACTGCTGAAATCCTTGTGGTCAATGAAATGAAAGCAAAAATATGGGAAGTGATGAAGTCTTTGCCAAAGAATCCATCTTCGTTACTGATACAGAGTTCCTAATCTCTCTCATGGTAGTTCATTTTAAGGAGCTGATTCACTTAAATGTCATTTGAAATAAATATTTATGAACTTAGGTTTTAATGTATTATTTTTTAGGGCTGGGCTGTGCTGTTGCCTATCCACGCATTTGAAGTGCACCCATACGTGTGCATTTTGCTGCACTACCCTTTTTAAACGGGCCTCCTACTATCGTGTCAGTCAGGCTTTCTTAGCACAAAAGAGAACTGAACCATGCAATCAACTGCTTTGCTAAACCTTCATGGACACCAATTAAAGCTGTCTGTTTTGAGCTCTAGCAGAGGGGGTCCAAATTGCATACCGGCATCAGACTCTATCAAATGATGTGCTGGTGTCTAAAAAGACCTGCAAAGCTCCAGGAGCTCTTCGCACCGGAACAGAAAGGGTTCTTTCCATATTTGCTTTTGAAATATGGCATGTGGTTGTGCTGCCTCCAGCGCTGGTGGTGCTCAGTGAGAACTTCCCAGCCAACAGGAACTGCTGTAAGTCGTTGGTGGATAACATAAGCTGACCGTTTTTAAAGACACAGCATCAGTGGATTCTGTTCTTTGTATGCAGGCAGACACTGACCCAGTACTGTCGAAACCACACGATCTTTTAGGGTGGTGATGAGTGTCCCCACTTTAACACTCTGTGTTAGAGTGGCTTCCTTTTGCATGAATTCATTTATTTGGGGGTGTGAAGAACTTTAGCTGTAGTTCGTTGCCTAAGTGATATTTCTGCCTCCTTTGCAGACCTGGGAAGGCTTCAGGATCGTCTGGGTCTCTGGGCACAGCCTGTTGGAGGCACTGGAAGTGGACTGGTTCCTGGTCATGCCCGGTGGAAGGAGGGGACCCAGCCGGCAGCAGCTAAGCCGTTCAGCTTTGCCTTCTCTCCAGACTCTGGTTGGTGGGAGCTGTGGAAACGGTACTGGTTTGAGAAACAGGTGAGGACAAAGGTAGGATTGTTGAGACATCTGTGGCTAGGATAATGATAAAAGCTTTAAATCCTATCTGCTCTGAACTCTGCTCAGTGGTTCAGACAAGGAACTGGGAGATTGAATCCTCTATGTGGCGTTAGGTGAGAGTAGGCCCTGCAATGCCCACTCGAGAAGAAACATGCCCTGCATTAGAAGCCTCTTCCAGTTTCTCTTCCCATCTCTGCTATGGCACATTCCCCTCTGCAGTACTTCTCTCTGCACACTAAAATCTGCCCCATGGGGAGGCCTGTAGAAGCAGGGTTGCAATCATGCAGTATTCACTTTGTCTTTCCCTGCAGCATTTTGTAGAGGAGTGAATTAGAGCAGATTATTACTAGGCTTTATTACTAGGCTGCCTGCAATGTTGTGGGAACTTACTGTGACACATCAGACTGCGGCTGTGAGCCCCCCTCCTACCTGACAGAAAGAAAAGGCAGGAGGATGTCTATTGTTTTCTCTGCTGGACCCACACAAAACCAATTCTCACAGTTTGCAAAGCTCATCTCCGTTTTCTGGGGAAGCTGGAGGTGGAAAAAAGAACTCGGAATAATAGTTAGGGTTCCACATTTAGCGTAAAGACTACAAGGACCCATACCAAAGTGAACAGACTAGATAAGCTGTTTGCTGCATGTTGAGGCCTCGATCTACTTCGTATAGGTTCATCTTTACGGAGTAAAGAGATCTAAACAATTTAGTTGTGGCTTTAAAGACTTTTTCTGGCCTTGATAAGTGGACGGATGGCTCAGCCTTAGACTTTAGAGGAGCAAGTGATTGTGGAGACCTTGGTGTCAGCGTCTCAGGGCCATAGGGGAGCATTGCTTATCTTGGTTTTGGTTAGACACAGCATAACTTACAACTGAACATTTCTCTGCCAGTTTTGTCTACAAGAGCTTTTAGTTGTCGTAGCCTCATCCAAAAGATAGCAAAGAAGGAAGTGTGAGCACATTTGAGAGGTCAGCTTCAAGGAAGTGGCTTCATTCCATTTTTAGTTAACTTTCTTTAACAGAGGAGCTCTCAGCAGAAAGGCAGTGGGTACTTGGTAATACTGAAGAATACCCAGTATTATATCTCCATCTACAAGAAGGGCCATAAGGAGGATCCAGGAAACTACAGGCCTGTCAGCCTGACCTCGGTACCAGCAAAAATTATGGAGCAAATTATCTTGGGTGAGATCACATGGCACGTGCGTGGTGTCCAGGAGATCAGGCCCAGCCAGCAGGGGTTCATGAAAGGCAGGTTGTGCTTGACCAACCTCATCTCTTTCTACAACTGAGTGACCAAACTGGTGGACAAGGGAAGGGCTGTTGATGTGGTTTACCTAGACTTCAGCAAAGCCCTTGACATGGCCTCTCACAATATTCTTCTGGGAAAACTGGCTGCCCGTGGCCTGGACAGGTGTACAGTTCTTTGGGTAAGGAACTGGCTAGAGGCCATGCCTGGCAGGTCGTGGTGAATGGAGTTAGTCCAGCTGGTGACCCATTTCAAGTGGTGTCCCCCAGGGGTCAGTACTGGGACCCATTCTGTTTAATATCTTTATTGATGACCTAGATGAGGGGATTGAGTGCACCCTCAGTAAGTTTGCAGATGACACCAAGCTGGGAGGTGGTGTCGATCTGCCTGAGGGTAGGGAGGCCCTGCAGAGGGATCTGGATAAGCTGGATTGCTGGGCTGAGGTGAATGGGATGAGATTCAACAAGGACAAGTGCCAGGTCCTGCACTTTGGCCACAACAGCCCCATGCAGTGCTATAGGCTTAGGGATGAGTGGCTGAATGACTGTGAAGAGGAAAGGGACTTGGGGTATTGGTTGATGCTCGGCTGAACATGAGCTGACAGTGTGCCCAGGTGGCCAAGAGGGCCAATGGCATCCTGGCCTGCATTAGAAATAGTGTGGCCAGCAGGAGCAGGGAGGTGATCAGCCCCCTGTACTCAGCACTGGTGAGGCTGTATTGTGTTGTTTTGGGCCCCTCACTACAAGAAAGACATTGAGGCTCTGGAACGTGTTCAGAGAAGGGCAACGAAACTGGTGAGGGGTCTGGAGCAACAAGTCTTACGAGGAGCGGCTGAGGGAGCTGGGATTGTTCAGCCTGGAGAAGAGGAGGCTCAGGGGAGACCTCATTGCACTCTACAACTTCCTGAAGGGAGGTTGTGATGAGGAGGGGTTTGGCCTCTTCTCCCAGGCAACAAACAGAACCTGAGGAAATGTCCACAAGTTGTGCCAGAGGAGGTTTAGCTTAGACATAAGGAAGAGCTTTTTCTCTCAGAGAGTGGTCAGGCACTGGAATGGCTGCCCAGGGAGGTGGTGGAGTCATCATCCCTGGCGGTGTTCAAGAGGCGTCTGGATGAGGAGCTGCGAGATATGGGTCAGTGCTTGTGGTAGCAATGGTGATGGGAGGGCGGTTGGACCTTGCAGCTCGTTTCCAGCCTTATGATTCTATGCAAGCAGGCTGTGTGCTTCTGTCCTGAGCTGAAGTGGGTGCTAATGTAATAATGTCTTACTGGTGAGCAGAAGGAGCGAGCTTTAAGAGCTCAGTGTGGCACAGAGTTCTTCATGACTTTTGCTTGGGGTTTCTTCCTCAGTGTATACTTTCAGTCTTCCCTTTGCAATTTGTCTGAAATAACAGCTGAGCACATCACAGCACCACTGGTAAACCAATTTATCTGTAGTCTGCAGAAAATGCTGGCTAAGAGTTTTGTCCGTGTTAAGAGGAAGATGAAGCTTACCAGCAGCCTTGTACCAGTAATATGAATGCAAGACTGATGCCATTTCTACTCAAGCAATGCCTAGTCCCAGATTCAGAACCCTAAGCATTTCCTGTCCTGGGAAACAGTGGAGATAATGTATAATGTTTACCAAGTGAGTGGTATCTTTCTGCTTCAGGAATGGTAGTGCCATCAGCCTCTCCGCGCCTCCCATCACAGCGCTGATTACTCCAGAGCCTGTTCGTCACTGCCGGATCCCTGACCTGCCCTTAGACGGGAGCCTTCTCTTTGAATTCCTGTTCTTCATCTACCTACTGGTAGCCCTCTTCATTCAGTACATCAACATCTACAAGACTGTCTGGTGGTACCCATACAATCATCCTGCTTCCTGTACCTCACTGGTGAGTTCCCCAGCAAATACCATCGCTTGGGCTTTGGCATTACACAGCTTCTTGTCGTGCTTCTTCTGGTCAGGATTCACCAAGATTTTGACATAAGGAGGTGAAGGGGATTTCAGTTACACCCCCATCAACCAGACTCATGTCATCCCTCGTTTTATGGGGAGAGGGGGTTGCATGGAAGGCCTTCAGAATGGTTCAGCATGGTCAGCTTCTTCAGTGAAGCAGGGTTTCTTCACTGGAAGTTTCTGCAGGCACTTGTGGTAGCCACTACATTTTTGAAATGGAGTTGAGTCTACAGGAGCCTTCTGCCTCCTGCTGTGAGTGCCTCTTCCCCAGGGAAACAACAGAGCCTGAGAGCAGGGATGATGGAGGTCTTTGTTAGTATCTCACAGCAGATCAGCAGCAGGGGAGTTGAGGAGGGATTCAGGTTCTCAGCTGATGTAAACCTTTCAGTCTTCTTAGTTTCTTTTTTTTTTTTTTTTTTTTGCTGTCTGAATGATTTATACCTGAGTCAGCAAACCCCAACTGTGTAAATCTAACTTCTGAAATGGTCCTTAATTCATGTAGTCGACTTGCATTGAAACATGAGGTAGTTCCTTAGTTAGTTGTGCAGACAGGTGGTGCTGGTGCTCCACTTGTCCAGCTGTTAAGTTTCAAATTCACCTATGTGATGTTGGACACAGCTTTTATTGAAGAGAAAGCATTCCATTTCAGTTTTCCTACCTGAAAACATTTTATGGACCTATATCTATTCCCATAAGTCAAAGCATTCTCACATACCCAAAATTTCCTTCTGAGACAGCACTATTCAGAGTCAGCTAACTGTTCTAGCCAGAACACATTTGATGACTTCACTAAAAAACTGTAAGGATTCCAAGAACTGTAGCTAACTTGATGCAGCCAAAATCAATATTAATATACATTTATGGCCAATGCAGATGACACTTCTTACATAACTTTGATTATCAGAGAGCACTGGTGGTCACTACCACCTATTTCTGAGACAAAGGGCTAAAGTGAGCTGGTGTCCAGGACTCTGGGTTTGGCTGTCCTTGCTGTGGTTGGTTGGTGGCTTTTCCCAGGATAACTTGCAAGCTGTTCTCCACAGTAGCATCCTGGTCCTAAAGCTCTCTTTGACCCTCAAAATACCTGCCTTTGGGTGGATTTTTTTTTTCCTTATGTGGGGAAGACCTTACCTCTGGAGACATTCCTGCGTTACTTGTTTTTCTCCCTTCTCCCATGTTCCTAATAGGGAATTAATTAGGGGCATGCCTGTCTAAGGTACAAATGCTTTCAGCAGCCAGCTTTCCAGTCCCCACCCCAGCAGGGTGTTTTCAGAGCTCCTTCCATTGGTGAAGAATCTTTTCTCTTTCCTTCTTCAGAATTTCCACCTTATTGACTACCACCTGGCGGCGTTCATCACAGTGATGCTGGCGCGGAGGCTGGTGTGGGCCCTCATCTCTGAGGTAATGTTCCCACTGTTCCCTCTCCTGCCTGTAGTACTGACTGCAGAGCAGGAAAGCCTTAGAAAGTTCAGAAAACTGGAGAGCTGGAGCATTTCTTCCCCCAGAAGAAGCCTGACTCTGAAAGTCCTAAGATTCTGGGGATGCCCTGCTATCATGGGACCTTTATCCTTGAAACCACTCATGTCCTGCACTACTGGATAGCCCTGTTGCTTTTCAGCTAACAGGAGATGAAATGATCCCACTGGCTTCTGTATCCCTGCAGGCACAATACTGTAGCTTACTATCTCATGCCAGAGAAGTGGCTGAGGGAATTGCAAGTCAGGTAGCAGAATGGCAAATAGGTTAGCCAACACTGAAAGAGTGAACAGGAGATCAAAGGGAAGCATCAGAAGGAGAACATCTGAGTAAAGTGAAATAGGAATAGCTGGCAGAACTGCTCTTTCTCTCCTGGTTACTCAGAACTCTGAGGATCTAGAGCTTAGATCTTGAGACCCTCTCTGTGTTTGTGAGAGCAGAATCTGGCCAAGTATGTGCTTGAGAAAGGTTATTTTGAGGAAAATGGCAGCTTATCAACTGAAACAGTTAATACAAGTCCAGACTAAGTTTGTTTTAAAAACAAACTCCCAACAGTTAGGAGTTGTGGAATGGGTGAACAGAGAAGGTGGAATCTCAGAAGTTCTTTCATCTCTGATTTGTGCCATTGTCATTTACGTTCCCATCTCCATAAAGCCTCCCAGAGACTGGAATTTCTGCTTTGAAACCTTCTATGCAAGTTCTTGCACATTCCATTGGTTATAATCACAGAATCATAGAATGGCCTTGGTCATTCAAAGGACCACAATGCTCATCTAATTTCAACCCTCCTGCTCTGTGTAGGGTCGCCAACCAGCAGACCAGGCTGCCCAGAGCCACATCCAGCCTGGCCTTGAATGCCTCCAGGGATGGGGCATCCACAGCCTCCTTGGGCAACCTGTTCAGTGTGTCACCACCCTCTGTGTGAAAAACTTCCTCCTAATATCTAACTTAAACCTCCCCTGTCTCAGTTTAAAACCGTTCCCCCTTATCTTACCACTATCAACTTGTGTAAACAGTCATTCCCCCTCATGTTTATACGCTCCTTTCTGTAAGAATCTGTGCCATCTCCTGTTTGAAGACTGGAGCAAGCTGTTTTGCTGCTCTTTTGATGATTCCTCCTCTTTAAACTGCAGTCTGGTATACCTGGTAGAGATGAATGGTGGAAATCCTAATGGATTGCATATGTGCACCATCTTCTGTTCCCTCAACAGAGAACGATAATATCTGCTTCTTTAGGAAAATGAATGCTGAAATGTGATCTTTGCCAAAGAAATAGCAAGAAGAAGTGCTTTTCAGGCTGGAATATCATCAGAGCATTAAAGGACTTGAGTGAAAATACTTTTCACTTTGCAGCTCTGATTTTTTTTTTAAGGGCCCTATTTTAGTCATGCCCTAGAACTTGTGCGTATTCATGAATCTTCTGGATTCTCCTTTACTTCTGGAAGGAAGAGGGCAGCCATCCCTCTTACAGCGTACTTCCTGAACCCTCTCACTGCTCTTCCTCTAGAGGAACCTGCTGTCTTGAGCACCAGTGTAGTAGGGCTGCTGAACATGTCTTCTCTATTTGTAGGCCTCTCAGGTGGGCGCAACGTCAGTGATTCACTACATGGTGCGCCTGGTGCTACTCACCCTCTGTGGCTGGGTGCTCTGCTGGACTCTGGTCAACCTCTTCCGCAGCCATTCCGTTCTCAATCTTCTCTTCTTGGGCTACCCGTGAGTAATGATACCTTGTAATTTCAGGGCAGAGGGAGCACAGCTCCCTAGGGGTTAGCCGCTGTGGGAATCAGAGCTGCTGGCTGTAACCTGTCCCTAAAACACAGGCAGACAAAAATCTCGTCTTATGAATAAAGGGGAAGTAGGAGTAGCTAGAAGATGATGTGGGGAGGAGCCCTGACCCCATGAAGCAAATTGTCTGCAGTGTGCTGTTTGCATGACAGGCCTTTGCTGCAGCTGACAACCGAGTCATTGAGATCACTTGTTCCATGGGTGGGATTTAAAGAAGCTTTTAAGCACGGTTTTTTGAGCTAGGCATTTTCTGTGTGTGGTGTCTTTCTTGAAGGTGGCCCCTGCTTCATTTTGGGATATCATTTCAGCCCTTCTTTCTCTCTTTTTTCCCCACAGATTTGGTGTTTATGTTCCTCTGTGCTGCTTCCACCAGGACAGCAGAGCACAGCCCCTGCCTGCGGACTGTGGTTACTTGGTACAGGATCAGATGGTGGAAGATGGGGCTTCAGCTGTCAGCAGCCTGGTCAAACCCAAAGATTTCCTTTCGCTCCTGTGGGAATCCTTGAGAGAACAGTTCAATAATCCTACATCTATCCCTACCCACAGCTGCCCCCTCTCCCCAGATCTCATCCGCAATGAAGTGGAGTGCCTAAAAGCAGACTTCAACCGCAGGATCAAGGAAGTTCTCTTCAACTCTCTCTTCAGTGCCTACTACGTGGCCTTCCTGCCACTGTGTTTTGTCAAGGTAGCTCTTGTTCGCTTCTCTTGCGCCCCTGTCTGCAGCCTCCTTCTGAATGTTGTGTGATTTGCTGCCGGGCCAGATTCTTGGTTAATTCCCCTTTTCTCTGTCTCCCCTTTGGCAGCCCGGATAGCGGAGCATGGCTGCATCCGGAGTGCACTAGTACTGCTCCTGGTTGGCGGATAGGTATTGCCATAAATGTGATGCACCTCTAGTCCCATCACCCCACTTACTAACTCCCCTTCTCCCACCCCCTGCCCTAGGCAGATGGATAGCGGCGTTCTTTGTAGAAAAGGGCACTTGTTGTTACCTGTCTCAGATCCAACATCGTCCTGGGTTTTGAGTGCTTGGATCAGAGGCTTTGGTGTTCAGCCTGTTAGAAAGCAGAGCCAACTAGAACGTTTGGGAGCCTAAATTCAAGAACCCCTTGCCAGCGTGGGGTTGTATTTATTGTTGTTTTCTAATCTGTATGAGCTCCAGTTGGTGTAATGAAATGGGCAGGGCTCCACAATCCACGTAGCAGTCCTGGTGCAACTGGTGCTCCCGAAGCAGTTCTGTGGCAAACAGACCCTCCTGTCATCTGCTGCTAGAGGAGGAGATGCACCAGCTGCAGCATCATGCCCCTGCCCTTTCTCCTTCAGGTCAAGGAGAAGGGAGCCTTGAGTGTTTCCTAGCTGTAACCCTCTGAAATCACTGGTCCAAAAGCGCATGCCTGTAATGTGTGGTGTGGGTCTGCTGGATGCACATGCAGTACGTCCCTTGTCATTCCCTCCTCTGCTGAGTGACAGCGGTGCCAAGCTCTTGTCCGGTCTCTTTGCAGAGCACGCAGTACTACGACATGCGCTGGTCTTGTGAGCACCTCATCATGGTGTGGATCAATGCCTTTGTCATGCTCACCACTCAGCTGCTGCCTCCCAAGTACTGTGACCTGCTCCACAGATCGGCTGCCCACCTTGGCAAGTGGCAGAAACTAGAACATGGCTCCTACAGCAATGCTCCACAGCATATGTGAGTGTGGGGATGGGGAGGGCTTGGCCTGCCAGCGAGGGGCTGATGAGACATTCTGGTGGATGAGCACTCCTGATACTTGCTTATCTACTGAGGAAGCTTCTATGCTCCTCAGTGTCACAGGTAGTAGACACAACTGATCTTTGTGTTCCCACGAAACAGAACTGACTGCTTTAGAAAGCTCTCCAAAAGCTTCTCTGGTCAAGTGCTGGTTTCTTCTCAGAGACAAACACTCTTGGCCGCTAGAGCAGTCACATGGGGGAAAGGGTGGCCCCACCAGCATAGCAGGCTAGGATCTTACATAGGGAGCCATTTCTTCACATTGCCCAGGCAGAGTCCTGGTGAGCTTCTGAGCTCTTGCCTCTGTGTTTTTCAAGTGGGACTGGGGACACGTCCTTGTCACAGAGGCTTTGGTATTTTTCAAGATGCAGTCCATTCCTGTGAACCCATGTTCAGTGAGTTGAGAGCATCCTCTCTCCTGCTTCCCTTCGTGCTAACGCTCTGGCATTCTTTTCCCACAGCTGGTCAGAAAACACAATATGGCCACAAGGAGTACTGGTGCGACGAAGCCGATGCCTGTATAAAGCAGTTGGGCCTTATAATGTAGCAGTGCCTTCCGACGTGTCCCACGCCCGCTTTTATGCAAGTATCTCTTTTCTTGTTGGGTCACAGCTGAGGAAGGGAGGAGAGGCTTAAACCTGGCAGCTGCAGCAGAGCAGGTTGTGTGGAACAGTTTGATGCTGCGCAGCAGTCTGTTGGATCTAAACAAAAGGCCTATTCTTAGCAGCAGGGTTTTCCCATCCCAGTATTACTCAGATGTCTGGTCAAGACAGAAGTAATGGCTGCTTTGTCGGTGTTTTCTCATTGTGGTGATGCAGCTCATCAGATGTTACTATATTTGTAAGAGGACTGTAGCTAACAGAACATCTTCTAGTAAAATGAGAAGGCATGTTAACCTCCCCGTAGGTTACTTTACCAGTCCTCCTCTCAAGGAAAATGACATTTTTACATGCCTTGTTTCTTATGCTGCTTTCCCTGCGTAGCAGCTAGCAGTGGCTGGAATACAAACACCACTTCTGCCCGGCTCAGTGCACTGGACAGAACTCTGCACGCACCTCTCCCCACTTTAACATGGCAAAAAATGATCAATCTGCTTTTTACCTCCACAGTTCCTCTTCCACCGTCCATTACGGCTGCTCAACCTGCTGATTCTCATCGAAGGCAGCGTGGTCTGCTACCAGCTCTATTCACTGCTGCGTTCAGAGAAGTGGAACCATACCCTCTCCATGGCCCTCATCCTTTTCTGCAATTATTATGTCTTATTTAAGCTCCTCCGGGACCGGATAGTATTAGGCAGGGCATATTCCTATCCACTTAACAACTATGGACTCAAGGCACACTAGGCCTGCCAAATGTGTACCCCTTCCCCTCCTCTACCCACAGGGCAGGGAGGGAACCTCAGAAAAAAATATTTTCGTACAGTTCTATTTTTTTTCTTGCGGCGTTTATAAATATTTAAAATATTTTATATTTTGTATACTGTTGTTTTTGTGGGGTGGGAAGGGAACCAGTGGCAATTAAATGTCGCTTTATAAACAAGGTGTTATTTTATATATATATATATAAAAAAAAAACCAGCTCAGTGTGTATATACCGTATATCTATACCCATACATATATCTATGTGAAGCAACAGGATTGTGTGTGTGGTCACTGTGTCTGCTTTGCTCACACAATTGCCTCACTGTGGCACACTGTGGGGATAGAATTGCTGTTCATTAGGAACTGGTCTTCTCTAAAACACAACTGAGTGAAGAGCCAGGGGAAAATAAAACGGGGCTTTCACCAGTATGGGCAATTCATCTGGAAGCCTCAGCACCAGGGAAGAAGATATGCACTGGAAATGCACTGCTGCTATACCAATTTAGGGAAGGGAAAGAAGCAGTGTGCTGAACAGCGGAGTATGTTGGCTGTTGATCAGCAAAAGCTTTTCAGTTCCCTTTCCAGGGCTAGCAGCACACAAGCGTGTATTCTAAGTAAGCCCTTCTTTGCTTTAGCCCCTATTCCTCTTCATAGCAACTTGAGGTTGCCAACTCCACCCAGAGAATGAACTAAATCTTGAAATAACAATTTTAAGGCAGTGTATCACTTAAAAAAGGATTTGAAATAGCCTAACCTATAAAGATGGTATCACTTTTATATTGCCATCTCTACTACCTTGAGTAATTGCTCCTTCAAATCAGAGGTGTTCCTGAAGAAATCTATTCTTGTCAGACTTACCAGCTCCCCTACTGCCATACAGTGCATTTTGGCAGTGTTTTAGGTATTCTGAGTATTTAAGAAGTTACTAATAGAGAGGAAATATTTTTTTCTTTTAATAATCTGATCTCCATAAGGTTGAACTGTGGTAGAATCTAATGAAGTAACAATTATGGCAGTATCGTGAAGGACTTGAAGATGAAAGACAATATCAACCATCATTAATTAACTGCGGATGCTAGTAGCAGCTGATCTTGCTGCTTTTACTCAAGTATTTACGAAGAGGGTAATACAGCATTCTTCCATTCAGATGCTACTGACTGGAACCTTTAAGCATTAGTAAAGTGCTACCCCTGTTTTAAGAGTGGAGACATGTAATGAAAAACAAAACCAACTGTACTGAGTTTGGGAAAAACTGCAACTACTTTCTGTTCCTTCTTTCCTTCCAAGCTAAGTAAGAATTCAATATTTTGTTCCCATCTCTAAGACAGCTTCTCCCACAGCCAAATCACAAGCCCAATTTTTCTTCAATAGTTGGTGAGGTGGGAAACAAGACATATCTAAGCATTAACCATAAGCCAACTAAAGCTAAGCATTTAGGTTCATTTTGGAATGCTCTTAAGTCTTCTCCAATCATTGATGTGGCCACAGTGGTGCAAGCAAGACACAAGATGAGGACTTTCACTGAAACAGTAGTGCGGCTTTAGGGCCTGATCCTGTACAAGTAGAGCCTTCTCCAGCTGTTCTTGCTGTGATGTCATACTTTTTGTAACACAACCTCACCTTTTTCTACCTTGATTACTTCCAGAAGTACATCTGTGACAAAAGGAGGTTGGCTCTGTGCTGCACTGTGGCTTCATGCAACTCATTTCCTGCACCCAGGGTCTACTCGTATGGCAGCTCAGTAACACTTCTGCTTTTAGTGCCACACAAATTGCACTTGCTCAAAATAGCTGGCTCTTGAAGAGCTATTTTATGGCATTACCAGGTAGCATCTTCCACTGGGACTCCTATATGGTAGAAGGCTTATTGCTTAGGTAACTAGTGGGAAAGAAGAGGCTCTCAAAGCTCAGGGAATGCAGACGTTTGTCAACAGTGCAACAGAGGGCCAAAACCCCCAAACAAAGGCTTCAGGTCACAGAAGTGATGAATGGTCATGCTCTGAGATTTCCTCCCCTTGCATGTAAGGTTGTAGGTGCGTAAGACTGCTCATGCAGTGAATGCACTCATTCTCTGCACAAGTCAGACTGACTTTATACTGTTTGCAGCACAAGGGAGAAAAACAGTAACATTTCCATATCTACGTGCCTTCATTTTGCCAGGAGGGACTATCTTAACTAAGGGGCTTAACACACTCTTCTGTTAGTGCAGGTGTGTTAGGATCTTCCTTATTCCACAGGAGTTAGGCATGCTATTTTAAGGGAAACTGTCCCACTCTCTCTCAAAACAGTACCTTTCTTTAATTCAGCAGCAGGAGGAGTTTTGTGAGAGGTTTAAGGTTTAGAGACTGGCCTTCCACACACAGCCGTGTAGCTGCAGCTGTCTCCCATCTTTACATGGGACCCTGACGTGGAAAAAGGTTGCAGAAGATACTTGCAGGTTCCCCTGTTGGCAGAAACACAGTGAGGAACAAGCTAGTACAGTTGGTCTCCTCACTATGAGCTGGACCATCCAAGAATGTACAGAGCAGAAGTGATGTCTGCTCAGCAGCAATGCCTGCTTTGAACAGTGTTCCTCCTCATTTCTCCCATGGGTCTGCTGCTAAACCTCATTCAGTTAAACATTGAAAACAAGTCCACTCCAGTATTTGGCCAGGTCAGACAAGGGGAAAAAGAAGACTCGTTCCCCATCTTAATCATTCCATCATGCAAGGATGTCATAATGAATGGTTGGTTTTTTGGTCTGGCGACGAAACTGCTCTAGCTTCAGGCCAATCCTCAGAAGAACAGCTTCATCCCACCACTTTGCCATGACCTGCAAGAGGGAGAAAGAAAAAAAAACCAAGAAAGTAGCGTCATCACATACAGTGATTAAAGCCCAGGAAAACATGGCCAAAATTATGTCCCAGCAGCACCAAGACGACACACACTTCTCCCCTTTATTCTAGCAAGTATGGCACCGCTCTATTTGGGAAAAAGGGAGCTCAGTGACTTTATTAAAACATGGTACTTCCAATTACATCAGACCTATTTTCAGAGGGAAAAGAGCAAGAAAGAAATTACTGAACTCAGACATAAGGAAAAGAAAGAGCAGTGATAAATAACGGGTACTGATTCCAGAGGACAAGGAGAAACCTATCTCCAGATGTCTGAAGAGTCCATCTGGCATTCAGAAGTGAGTTACTCTTTGAGGCAAATCTCCTCACCCAGAAGTTAAAAATTCCTTAATAGTATCTGGCAACTCCTCAAGTGTGCTGGCACCAAGAACTTGGTTATAGGGGGTTCTGGGCAGAGCCAGCTGGGGATTTTGTGACCCAGCATCACAATAGCCACTGCTTACCTGGAAGCCAATTGGAAGCCCAGCAGTAGAATAACCAATAGGAACGACGAGGCCTGGAATCCCAGTGAAGTTACCAAGCTGCATGAACCTGGGGAAAAAGCTCTCATCAGCACTCCTGCCCTGGGCAGAAGCAAAGTCAGCCTATTCTGGGGGAGAAGCAGCTAGAATCAATCTTCCCCTGCTCTACAGTCTGAACTCCTCGAGTTTGTACACCTAGTCTACAGCTGCTGCCAAATTTTTTGTTTGCAAGGTACAAGCAGCAAATCTTCTTACCTCATAGACCTCATTGTGAATGAAATATTGCTGCTGCCAGTCAGAAGGTCAGATTCGTGGATTCTCGGGGCAGTGGAAGCAACAGCTGTTGAGGAATCACAGAATGGTTGAGGTTGGAGGGGAACTCTAGAAGCCATCTTGTCCAACCCTCCAGCTCAAGGAGGGTCAGCATTGAGGATGGAGGTTCTACAGCTTTACTGGTCAACCTAATCTGGTGCTTAAAGAGCAAAGAAAGAGTCAGTCTGCAGGCAGTCACCAAGAAACAGTTCAGTTCCTTAATGCCATTTTTCATCTAAATTACTAATGCAAACTCCTTCCCTCCCCCAGAACACAAGTCGCTGGGATTTATGAATTGAGCAGTCAGTTTTCTATTTCTATGTATGTAGGTAGACGTCGAGTCTCTCCTGTGCAATTGCTGACTCTGCACCTTCTGTTCCAAAAACCAAAAGGGAGTTTTGTGACTGCCTTATATACAGGCAGCAAGCACAGAAATACACAGCAGTCATTCTAACCAGGCCCCATTTTCTTTCAGAGCTGCAAGGCACGACGAAGTCCTTGCACAAAAGTTACACTCTTTAAACTGGAGAGGAAAAGCTAATGGAGTGACTGTTCTCAATGGGAAGCAGCTCTTCGGCCAGGACTGCCAGTACCTGGTGTAAGTATGCAGTTCACAGTGGTGAAGATCTCTTGCAAAAACCTCATGCTGCGAGTTCTCTGTCGATTTGCCTGCAAGCAGAGAGATTACTGTCTGACGATGCTCATCTCCAAAGGCAACTGCCTCTGCCCATGTGAGCCCATGTCTTTGCAAAAGAAAAAACAACAACAAAAACAACCACTATTGCTGCGTTTTGGAATCAACACGCAGTAGGTCAGCCCAGGTGTCACATCCTCTGCGGTACCCCACCGTTTTGCCCACCTTCACTGCAAAATCATTTCCTTTTTTCCCCACAGCTGAGTGCTGTCTTCCCACGTGTGCGGGGAGCTTAAGAGAAATGTCGATCCCTCTTCTGCAATTTCATTGCCTCCCCTTCAGCCTTCACCACAGTATGTTCTCACCGTAATATAATCCAGAGCGGTGAACTGGGAACCCAAAGCCAGGCTAGCCCGAGTCTCCAAATTCTGAAAGAGAAAATAGTCACAGCTCTCCTTGCACCAGGCTTGTTGATCATATATTCTAGCTTTAGGTAAGCATGAAGGAATCAGCAGATTTCTGATTGTCCTTCTCCCCACCTTTCCCACCTTCATCAGCCTGCCATCAAGCCTAAGTGTCTCCCTAGGAGCTGTAGTTCAGACCTCTGCATGCTTTAGTAGCCTTCCATGCTGACTGGAAGAATCTCAGCTTGCACATAACAATTTGAAGGGGCTCAGGTCTGCTCGGTCAACAACAGCAAGAAACTGAGTGCGATAGCCCAGGAGTTCTCTTCCAGGACTACTCTCTGATATCAGAAGTCATCCAGCAGGTGGTTTTTCACTGAGAAAGCAGGAGAGCCCCAGCTTTCTCAACAGTGCCAGACACTCGTTCTGCATCAGCCATGACAACTACCGCCACTGATCCAACCTGCTATCACTTACCATTTCCTGGAAATGTTTGTTGAAGTCGGGCTGCAGGAAGTCCCTCATCTCACTGAGAATGCAGATCGTGTGGGCTATTTTCACTTCCTC